GACAAGGATTTCGCTGTGAAATACGTGAGGTAGATTGGGGATGAAAACCTCAGTTGGGAACAACAGATAAAAATTATGATTGGTAAAGTGCGATGATTGGATTCGGTGTTGTGCAAAATGAGGAGGTTGTGCATTGGTTAAAAAGCGCTGAAAGACTTCACCAAATTCTGTATTCTGCCGTTGATCCCATATGCTGTTATGTTGAAGAACACAACTGGTTCGCATCCGCACTCTTTGAAACTGCTTGGCAGCTGTGTAATTTCGACGTTGATCAGTTTGGGTCCATGCTGACCATACACTTGGTAATGACAGCAGTTGCTCTGGGCAGTTCTGTTCTAACGAAGCCAACTCACCCACTGTACGAATGTTTCCAACAGTGCGTTTCGAATCAGTAAAGCACAAAGTGTATGTATGTTTCTTGCAGGAGCCGGACTGAGGCTTACCGAAGGTCAACCATGCCGTTGGCAGTCTGATGTTTGATCGATCCAAAGGAATAATAATCGTTATTTTGGTGGTGACTAAACTCTGATCAGCCTGACAGAGGTCCACTTTCTTTGTTTTGTATTTGTTCATTTGTTATATTCAGGTTGTGATAACTTGTCTTGTGCCTTACCATTCGCTTAATTAAACCTGGCTGACTGATCTTCTTCTTGACATTAATTCCAGACTATCTGCTAACCAATGTTTCATGAAATATTGGCATCTCAGGCGTCTGTTTCAGCATTCTGTTGTCCATAGCAGAGACTTACCATTGACAAATATTGAGTTTAATTTTCAGTGCGATTTTCTACGTAGGACCCATGATCGATTACCAACTAACTGATCGGTTTATGTCCAACGTTGTAAGATGGCCATGGCGTCGATACGTTGGCCAGCACATTGTGTCTGTCTCCCAGTATTGTAGCTTTGTATTCGAATTAATAGCTTTCGAAGAGTTTGCGGATGGTTGAAAATAGGTCAGCTCAACCCTCATTGTGTTGAGGTACTCTTCCATTAACGCATTACAACAGAACCACTGGCGCCTGGAATAACATGCTTTGCCGTTTATCGGTTTTGTTGTTTGCAGCGCTGATTTGGCGTCGTCTCAAATATGTTGTTTGTTTAGGCGGAGAGTGTGGTCTTATCGATACGCGACATGTTTCACATTGTTTACGACATGAAGAAGAAACAGCTGGAGGGCGCGAGGCAACTGGAGGTGAGTGAGTTCGGCTGTTGACTCGTTGATTTGCACTGTTCGAAGCTCATTGCTTTCAGGATGCTCCAGTTAATGGCTCAACAAAGAAAGAAAACAACAGCGACCAGTCGAACGAGGTGCTGGTCGACCTTCTTGACCTTGAAACCGAGGTCGACTCGCTGCAAGAGGTAGCGCCCCGAGGTTCTTATTTGTGTTTATGTGTTCAATGTCGGCTTTCAGAAAATGAAGAGCATGGAATC